CCTCGCTTCACCTCCGACGTAGCAGAGGAGTCGTTCTTTCCAGTGGCAGCTGTCCTGCGCGTTGAGGGACGTTCAGTAGCCTCTCTGGCCTCTAGCATGCCCTTTCCAGAGTTCTGGCCATGAAAAGAACATCTGCAGACATTGCCAGATGTCCCTTGGAAGGCACAATCACCTCCTGTCCAAAACCTCTACTTTAGATTGACACCCAAAGACCTCTATTAAATGTTAATTCCTGAAATTTCTCCACTCCTTTTTCTAACTATTCCAAAATCCCTTCTGTCAGATTCAGTTAAGAACATGCCATGCTTATTTGTATATTTGCTTCACCCAACTCAAAGTGCCCTTCCTCCCAGACCCTTCCAGCCCATCTATTTATTCCTAGACACAGTCAACTGCAGCAGGAAGATTCTGCGACCCATTTCACGCCCTCACTGCAATTTCTTAACATCTTTTCCTCTCAGCATCCTTCATAGTCATTGTTTCTCTCCTATGGCTTAAACGCTAATATTCTCCAGTGTTCTATCTCCAGTCTTCATTTCTACTTAATCTGTGTTCTACCAGGATACGGTCTTCTATTCCTGCAGCTTTGTCCCTTGTAATGATGACCACCATCATCCTCTTTCAAAATCTCCTGAACCACTAACTAGTTTTCCTGCTAACAGCAAGGCCCCTGCCAAGAGAGTCTACACCCTCAAGGTCAATAGGTGCAAAAAAGTTCATTTTCTTCCTTTACCAAACTCTTCCTCCGATCTTAATAAATTAAACTATGGTGCACACAAATACCAAGAACAGGAACCTCAGACTCTCTCTCTTTCCCATTCCAAATAACCTAGCTCCAGACCTGTTTCTTCTCTGTTCCTGTTGCTCTAGCTCAGGACAAGCCCATTCCACTGAAGGTCTGGTCTCCTGGCCTCGTCTGTCCTCGCTCTTATCTACCTCGCCTTCCCCCTTACAAACACTGCCGTATTCACGGGTCTGCGGCCGCTCCCCATTGCCTGTTTTCCAAACTCTGCAATGTGGTAGGTGGACCTTCATCCCGGCCACAGCCTTCCTGGTCTCCATCGTCTTGGCAGCTACACCAGTCCACTCGCTAATGTGTTGTATGTGACTCTCACTCAGGCTCCAGTAAGAAAACTGAAACCACAGTGGGTATTTTAACAGGGAGAATTTATTGAAGGTTAAACATGTGTTTTAGAATTTAAAAATGAAAAGAGGACAGTGAAGTAACTCAGAGATAGTGCCCGTGTAAGCAGGAAGCAGTTCTCACTCGTGGGCTGAGGGTTACAGGGAAGAGGATGGGGTTTGGGGAAACTAAGAGAGACCCCACAGCCCCGGAACCTGCACATTTGAGGAAGGGCAATGCCTAGCTGCTAGTAGCACCTCCCATATGCTAAGCAGGGCCGCTGGAACTAGAGCTCAAATCTCTAGAGAAGGGAGGCTCCCAGGTCAGTGCAGGAATCTCTAAGTGTGAAATGAAGCTGGTCCTGCAAATGCTGAGCCTTGAAATCAAATGCTGCTCTTGGGAAAAGGGGCCATTGCCGGGGTAATCCTGTTAGGAAGAGCCATGAAAATAGGACAAAGGACATCTCTTCTTCCTCCCTCTTACCTTCCCTGCTCCCTCTAGCACCCCCTGTAGGTGGAAGCCAGGAGACAACTTGCAGGGTTCCAGCCTCAACATCAGAAGGATGGATGGATTTAGAATTGAGAGACAATTGCTTAATAACCGGCACAATGCTCTTTCATGTCTCTGTGCCTTTACTTATACAGCTTCCCATCCATAAAGCTCTTTCCACCAATATCCGCCTGATTCACGCCTCTATTCAAATGCAATCTCCTTTCTTTAATCTTCTCTAATCTCCTCCAAAATAATTATTCACACCAGCATCTGAGTTCCCCTGGCAGTTTGCAAATACCTCCTTTATAGCCTTCTTTAATATTGCATCATAATTATTTCTGAATATGCTCCTTTGCTTGTTTCCTGCCAAACTGTGAGCTCCTTTAGGGCAGGTAGAGTAACAGCCATAAAATCTAGCAGGGTGCCTGGCACACAACAGATACACTGGCTGAGCTGGATGGAATTGATAAGGGCATTCTAATGAAATTAATACTAGATTATTTCTTGTACATATTTTATCTTCCCAACCACACTTGAACTCCACAAGAGCAGAGCTTCCTATTTCTCTTATTTCTGCACGGTGTTTAATGTCCTGTGCTGAAGAAGAGCTCAGTGATATTTGCTAACCACTTAGTTTATTCACTAAGCACCACAATTTTGATTCAAAGTGACCTGAAGATGGAGCATACAGGTAAGATCGTAGTTTGGTTTAGATGTGCTGCTAGCACACGATTTCAAAAGAGTGTGCTGTGTATGGTCAAGTTCTGTCTTTGCTGGAAGTATAGCACAATCAAGAGACCAAATGCATTATGTCTTATAGTGAATTCTAACGTAATGAAATATATTCTAGGTTTCTTTCTTCCTCTTTCTCTCTTATAGAAAATATATTCCCCTACTCTGTGAGGTTACATCTGTTCTTCATATGTTTATTAAATTTCTCACAATCATTAACATCAATCAGATTATTTAAACATAGGAAAGGCAATGAATCTTGTTACTCACCAGCTTCTTGAAAAAAGAAACCTCTCTTCAACAACTGATTTACATTCAGGCCCAAGAAGAAGCAAATAGCTTTTTTTTTTAAGGGGGAGTGATATTTAATTAACTATTGATTTCTTCTCAATTATTCAAGGCAAGCAATTATCGATATTGATGGGACAGATATTTCCCCAGCTCCAGAGCTCCAGTGAAAGGAAATACCCCATTCAGCAGTCTGCTGCCTGAACAAAGATGCCGAGAATCTTTACCTTTAACTGAAAACAGTGACTCGGATCTGTTTATTCCATGTTGCCCCAATTAAACAAATATTTCCTGAAGTGTAAGAAAACCAAAATCCCGAAAATCTATGCATGCTCTCCAAATTAACAACAACCAAGAAAAGAAAGAGAAGGCTTTGACGGTTTTGACCGTGACCTAACCTCTCTCCACTTGTAGACTTGGCTCAGAACTACAGCTGTTGACATTTTTAACCATGACTCATAAAATACTATCATTTGGGTGTAATACTCACAATTCCTACACCACCCAATGAGAGGTAGCTTGTATAATCATCAGCTATATATCATTTATGCCTGGAACACTCCCTTGTCTGTGAAGACTTTGAGCTGAAGGGTTTAGTAGGCCTTAGCTGTCCCTTCTACTGTTTACAGATAGCAAGTGTGAGTGCATCCAAAAATTACACCAGTACATCATGCACGTGTCACCAGCAGGTCGCCGAGGAATTGCAGAAGGTGATAACCCAGGGCCCCGTTGATGCCATTTTGTGATTGACCCTGTGAGCATCCACCACCATTTTTTCTCAGTTCACTTGCACAAAGAACATTAGCATGTTTGTAGGAAGCTTCTTCAGAAGGTGACAAGACCATTAAACATGAGTAATGACAAGGCAACATTTCTTATTGGATTATTACTTGGGAGATGGTATTATTTTGTTGTTGTTGTTAATCCTCACCTGAGGATATTTTTCCATTGATTTTTAGATAGAGTGAAAGGGAGGGAGGGAGAGAAAGAGAGAGAAACATTGATGTGAGAGAGATACAGCCATTGGTTGCCTCCTGTGAGACCCTGACCAGGACAGGGTTTGAACCTGCAACCCAGGTACGTGCCCTTGACTGGGAATCAAACCCATGACCCTTTGGTCCATGGACCGATCGATGTTTTAACCCCTGAGCAAAACCAGCCAGGGCAGGGTTTTTGTTTTGTTTAGTTTTTAATACTTTGCAGTTGATAGCAATAGTGTGTGTGTGTGTGTGTGTGTGTGTGTGTGTAATTCACATGGTACCCCTGGGGAAATTTAACCATGGTATTTTTTTAATGTTATAATTTATTAAAGAACTCCTTTTTCTGCTCTGCCCCCACTGCCCAACCCAGTGTTTCTACATGTTAAGGGCTTAAGCAGCATAAGTTGCTGGGAAGTGTTCTTGGTGCTTTTACTTTGTGTCGCTGTCTTAATTTCCCCGGTTCTGTTTAACATTCTGCTAAGTCAGTGAAACCTTGATTATCTAAAAGAATAGGAAACATGGCATTAATGAGGATAACCAGAATTTTGAAGAAATAAAAAAGTATTACAGATGAAAGTTACATGGCAGGGTCCGCAAATGATTTTTGTCTCTGGAATTGCTTGTCTTGATTTATTCAAATAGATGTGATCAATCAATGAACTCAGTGCAATTTTGGTAATCAGGGTTTCACCACTGCATTTGTTGTTATCCCCAGAAACCGAGGTAACTTTGGACTCTGCTTCCCCAATTTACAAGACAATAAAAACCCCGACAGTCTGTCAGGGGCAGAAGTGACCGCTCTTCCTCACACCTCTCCATGAAACAGCTTTCTCTCTTCCCATGTGGCTGCGCCTGCCCAGCATGCCTGCCCCGTCCCATCCTGTCCCTTCCCCTTGGCTCTGTCTTTATGCATGTGGCACTGAATCACCTGCAGGGAGAATGTCACACCCTCAGAGGTGTTCGGTCATTTTCAATGCTGCTTTGCATTTTAATCACCATCATCTGGCTTCAAAGCTCTGCATTCTTGCATGAAGCACTTGTCCTTTAAAAGCCCTGGAGGTCACCACAGGTCCCACGAAGAGAAGCCACTGCCAGACCAAGAGTATTCCCTCCCCTCGTCCTCAGTAGCCTAAAATGGACAATGATAATATCCCAGATTGCAGCAAAAATGTATAGAAAAAGAACTGATTGGATGAAAACAGAGGCAGCAAACTACATGTGTTTGGAAATTGGAGTCACGTACTTCGTTTGCGGGGTGGGGGTGGGGGGAGCTGGAGATCGATAGAGATTTTTTTTTTTAAGCTGAAAACATGATGTACCAGATGAACTTAAATTGATTCTGCTTCTCCTCCCGGTGCCCCGCTCCCCTCCCCCTCGCTCTGCAGCCAATGTCTGCGACAATGAGCTGCTGCACTGCCAGAACGGAGGGACGTGTCACAACAACGCGCGCTGCCTGTGCCCCGCCGCCTACACCGGCGTCCTGTGCGAGAAGCCGCGGTGCGAGGAGGCGGGCGGCTGCGGCTCCGACGCGGGCCAGGGCGCGTCCCCGCACGGCCGCCCCGCGCTGCTGCTGCTGCTGCTGCTGCCGCTCGCTTCGCTGCTGGTGATCTAGGGGCGCGGCGGCCGCCCGCCCTGGGCCCTGGGGAGCGGACACCACCGAGCGTTTGCTGCTGACATGAAACACACACTCAGACACCCCCACTGACACGCGTGAACGAACGAGAAAGGCCCGACTGAACTAAGCCATATTCATCAGCCGTGGACAGCACATCCGAGTCAAGACTTCATCTCTGACTCCAGAGCGGGCAGCGCCGACGGGGTCACTAAAGATCACCTTGTCAGCTGCAGAGCCTATTGCCCTCGGGAAAGGCTGGGACAGGCCCCTGCACGGGAAAGACAAAAATAAAAAATAAAAAATCAACCAACCTGAAAACGTGTGTACTCTCACGTGGTGCGCCCCAGGACCGCTCCGCCCAGAGCCTGGACCAGGCAGGAGTGCTCTTTGCTGGTGGCCACTGTGGGTGTAGGACATCTGCTTGGGCTGCCATCGCCGCCTCAGCCCCGACTCCCTCCGGCCTGTGCTTTAGTGAACGTTGCTCTGTAACCTAGTTGGTTGAAAGATTCCGTTGTCTGATGTCAGTAGTGCACATGTACGTCTAACAGGCCTGGGAGCGCCCAGTCAGCCCCTCTATGTAAGCTGCGCGAGCCTGCGGTGCCCACACCCGCTGTCCCAGAGTGGCCACAGGGAAAGAGAAGTGTATCTATCCTTTTGTATTCAAATGAAGTTATTTTTCTTGAAATACTGTAATATGTAGATTTTTTGTATTCTTGCCAATTTGTGTTACCAGACAATCTGTTCATGTATCTCGTTCGACTCAGCAAAGACTGACCTTCTCCTCCGTTCTCTTCTGTTCCGCTTCGTTTCGCTGTGCAGAGGTGTCTCTGTAAGGGCAACCGACGCGCTGGCATCAAAGAATATCAGTTTACATATAACAAGTGTAATAAGATTCCACCAAAGGACATTCTGTTTTCTTGTTGCTTTAACACTGGAAGATTTAAAGAATAAAAATTCCTGCAGAAATGATTTCAGGAATGTGTATTGCAATTTCTTAAGATGCAAGGAGAAGCCACCGAGCAGATTCACATTCACTTTACCGATTTCTATGTGGACTGAATACACTCAGCTGACGAATTTAGTGCCGAGGAAGATGGAATGATGTTCACTAGCTTGGACAACTTCTGCAAAATATGAGACTATTTCCACTTGGGAAAATGATAACGGAGAAAAAAAATCTAAGTGATTGCCAAGATTATGCCAAAGCCTGTTGGCAGAGTACTAAGAGACTTTTATTTTTCAGTCATGCTATTTTCACAGATTGATGTGACCATGTGACTCTAGGGATGCTGATCTATGTATCTTTCCAAATACAGTGTTTACATGGGGTGTCATAAGGGGCAACCTGGGGAACCAGGGAAGTCGCAGGGAAATTAAGTGATTAGCAATTTGACTTTGAATATATTCAGACGAACTATTTAGAGGAAATATCAACTATAGAGCAGCAAGTAGACATAACTGCTGTTCCTGAGAATAAAGTTTGTTTTAAGTACCGCCCAAGGTGTAATAAATTCTTGTTTCTGCCTTTTATTAGGCCAATTACCGTGCCAGACAGCAAAGGGCGGCGGGTGGGGACTGCCAGGCTTCTGAGGGGCCAGAACAGTGTGCGTCCCATTCCGAGCACACGTGTCCTACAGGTTACAGACATGTTAGCAGCAGCCTCTCCTGCATTCAGAAACAATTATCAGCCCAAAACAGAGTCTCAAAGACAATGAAGTCCTACATGACGTGGTAGCACCATAAGCTATGCCAGTGTTAGGTTGGGAGCCTGCTTCCTATCTGAATCCTTTGCCCCGAATTCGCCACTCCTTGCTGAACTGGGGCAGGCGGGGTGGGGGGGAGGGGGCGTCTTCTGATAAATAACCTGGCTAAACACTAGGTGAAGGAACAGTGTGTCTTATTGGTTTTGTTCCCAGAAAAGCCAATTCAAAGAAGGCAATAAAAGGTAAACAGGTAATGTCTGCCCTGCCTGCCACCCCACGTCTAAGTCGATTGAATGTTTGTTATTCAAACCAACAGTCTCTTTGGATGTAAGAAAGAAGGAAAGATGGCAATAAATGAGAGCTCTGGCTGAGAGCCGAGTGGCCAATCAGAATTGGAGATTTACATAAGAAGCATAAACAGCAAATTATATGTCAGGTTCGCCAAAGAACACACGTGAACATGCCAATAGGACACGGAGTCGGAGATTACTTACAATGAGGTGGATTTCTAATATTAAAAGTGGAATTTGAGTTGTCTGATAGTTTATTAGCACGAACCAAAGGCCGACTGTGTCGTTTCCAGCCGCAGCACACGCGGCCACTCCTCACCGTGGCTTTGCACAATGCTCAGGAGTCGGGCTGCACATTTCAATACCTGGGATTCCAAAAGCTAATTCTCAAATTTAATGAAAGCCTGATCTGAATCCCTTCATCTGCATTTTATCGTTATGCGGCTCTAAGAATCTAAATTGATGAGGAATAGCTTGCGTTCAGTGTACTTAGATATAGTTTTCTGAATTTCCTGAAGTGATGTGATCTGCTTTTAATAAAAATTCACTTTTAGGTATATAACCAATAGAAATGAAATGTTCTTTTTAATCTGCATTCTCAGATTCCTCCAAAGGGCGCGTTCCCTTGAAGAAACATTAACTCAGTGGACTTGATGCGTCTGCCGCTTCCCGGCATTCTCACGAAGTTGGCTGGTTCTATCTATGACATTATGTCATAGAACATGATTGGGGTGAAAAGTGGACACTAAGTTGTTCACATATTTCAGGTCCTAATCTTGCTCAGCATCTATTTGGATCAACCTCTAAGGTGGGTTAATACATTCTTGCATATGAGCTAATCTGTTGACTTCACCACAAAGTAAAAATATGGTTATTTCCATCAACATTATTGATGAGCATAAAACTTCAAAGGATTCTTTGTCCAAAGGTCCGGCTCCGTGGGAAGTGTTGGTAATTAGAGGACAGTGATTAGGCCGCCTGCTGTGATGTGAGAGGGATGTTTCCCACCCCATGCGCAGCCCAGAGGGGCCACTTCCTTCCCAGCAAAGAGGGGCCCTGGCTCAGCGGGGCCCACTCCGATCCCCCTCCCACTTTGTCTCAGTTCTGAAGAACCTAGAATTCTCTACTGATGTCCTCCACCCATTTCAGGGTGTGTGTGAACCTCCTTTGGGAGCCAGACCCATGACGGCCGCTGAGTCCTGAGTGCACAGCCCTGGGCTCCAGGGGCCAGCAAAGAGGGCGCACGTTGGGTGGATGAGTGACCTGGGCCGTATACACAGGAGAATTCACACATGAGTGAGCAGAGGCCCCTTGCAGTGAAAACCGGAGCTCAGGAATGGCAAAGCAGGTGCTAAGGGGGAGGGAGACGGGCCGGCTGCTCTGGCCGGGTCCAGTACAGAACTCTGACCAGTCTAATGACTCTCAACCTACGCCCAGGTTCCCAGCTGCTACGGGAGCATTTGTGTCCGTATCAAGACGGAATGTTTTATTTAACACTGTTAGCTGTTAGCTTGATGTATAACTCTAAAACATTTAGCCATATGGAATATTGGCTTCCACCGATCCTTGTGTCCTGGCCCCTGCTTGGTGGATGTCCCTGGACACGTCCTTGAGGGGCACTCGAGTCAAATCGCTGAGGTGCACAAATCACTCGCCAGGAAACAGGAAGAAAGGTGGGGGTGGGAGAAGGCAGACGGGCTGCGATCTGTAGGTAGTGCCCGGCCTCGCCGGACAGAACGTGAGAGCTCTGTGGGGACTGGGGCAGCTGCGAAGAAACCCTGTAAGAGCCCCTTCGGCTCTTCAGCGCACTCCCCACCACAGCCACCCAGGGCCCCTGGGATGTCGCGTCCCGTCCCGTTTCGGAAGGCCTGCTCGGCTGCCGGGCTGGGCCGCTGTACGCGGCTGTGTCCAGCACTAGGCACACGAGCGAGCGCTGAAGTCTCCGCGCGGAAGGCCAGTGCGGGTCTGAGCCCCGCGCCCTGCGCATGGACGGGCGGGACTCTGTTTGCCTCTGGCCAAGTTTAGAGCTTCCACTTCTGACATCTGAACTGGAATTCTCTTTTCTTTTTCTTTTGAATCCTGACCGAGGATGTGTTTATTGAGCTTAGAGGAGGAAGGGAGGAGAGAGAAACACCCACTGGACCTCCCGGCCAGGGCAGAACTAGAATTCTTTCCCCCACTCTCATCCCCAGTCCTCGTGGGCCAGGACGGCGAAGTGGAAGCAGCTGAGCTGATACTAGGACCGTATGGATGACCAGGTAAAACTCTAGGGCTTTTGTAAATTTTTTATTTATTTATTTTTTAATAAAATCCAATCAGACAGCCTTAAGGATATCTGGGAATGAAAATATACATAAGGAACACCTGCAGAGTCTTGGTCCAGATATCTGGATGCGGACGTTCTTTGCCTCAGAAGTCAGGACTCTGTCCAGAGCTCATCTGGCACCAGTAATGGGGCTGTTCTGGCCGTTTCCATATAGAAGAATTTTCATTTTTAACTGGGTTTTAACTTTTCTTTTACACTAAAAGTAGTTCTTCCCTTTAGTTACCCAAAATAGATGCCAACAAATTCCAGCATAAACTGGCCATAAACATATTATGATGTCAGGAAGAATCAAGAATGTCAACTGTCATATTTTAAATTTTCACCAACAATCTTAGGAAGACAGAGAACTCTTCATAGCACCTGATAAGGTGTGACTCACATATCACCATCTCCATTTTCATTCGGAAAAATCAAAAGACTAAGAAATGAGACATATATCTTCTATAACTCACTGTTGCATTTAACCAGAAATGAGAAACTAACATCAATGAAAAACTTATATTAACATTAAAGAATGCAGTTATTTAAGATCTATTATGGCAGAAACATTCTGCCCCTAATACATTTTTAATGTAGGTTCTGAAACAAGTCTACCAGGAACACTTCAATGATTTTAGGGCATGTTGATAAGGTTTATATCTTTGAGCATTTAACAAATGCTGAGATCCCCCCTGTATTCTCTCCCATCACCCGGGAGCTCTTTTTAACTGATGGATGAATTCGAATCTGGTAGGGACATTGAAAACTATGTGATGTTTTTTATTAACCTGGAATGATAGCTGCGAAAATGGGCCATTATTCTGCGAGACCTAATTATGTTAACACTGAAGATGGAGCTACGCGAGCTGCAGCAAACCAGAGAATTGGAAGTAAAATAATACCCATTTTCTTAACGTAGTTCCATTTTTTTTCAGAGGCGTCATTTGTAACTAGTATGTAATTAGTGAACTCTGAATTCTATGGGAAAAATCTGGAAGAGAGAAAATATAATTACTACCCCTCCTACATCTGTCTGAGTAGACTCAAATTCCTACGTGACAAGAACGTGTCAAATTACGTTAAGGACAAGCTGTACCACGCATGGATCCTCCAGCCGTCCTGCCCTGACAAGTAGCACAGGACAGCTTTGCTCTTACAAGGGGCAGTCATTCTAATCTAATAAAAGAAGGGAAATGGCAGAAAATCACACACCTGAAGTCCTGTTAAGAATAGGTGATTCTTTTTGCCCCAGGCAGGCAAGAACATAATGTCATTCCTGTCCGTGTGCACTGGTGCTCTGAAGGAGGGCCGTCCTGGGGGAATGGCGTTCCCTCTGCCAGTGGGAAACACAGCAAGAAAACACTCTCCGAGGAAATAGCATTTTGCTGTTTACCATTCATGCCCACCCCATGGAGCCTGAGTAATTGTTTTGGCTTTCATGGTGTGATAAATAAACACCTGAAGGCAAAGAGATTAGTGTCATCTCTCTCCGTCTCATTTTCTCTCCCCTGGGAGGGGGGATATATATGTGTGTGTGTGTGTGTGTGTGTGTGTGTGTGTATCCCCAAATAGAGGATGCCGACATTTGCAAGAAGAATCTTTCAGTCGGTTGATGCCTAATTATGAAGACTCCAGCTAAATATTTACTTTATTAATTTAATAGTGTGACAAGTACTGCAGAAATTTTACAAGCACTTAAACACGTGTTTACACCCTGTGTAATTGCCATTCATAACTGGGAAGGCAGTCAGATCCAAATGCATTCTGCTCAACGGTTCTCATTCTGCCAAGTAGAGCCAACACGTGACAATAAGTGACTCTTAAACCGTGACTTCTTCACCTGCAGTTCGAACCAGACTTGGGGAGGGCCACGAGGGGTCTAGCAGTGAAGGGCTTTACATCATGTGCAAAATTCTTTGAATATAGGATTTTTTTTTTCTGGGCAGAGGATCTCTGATACTCTCTATTTTTTAGAATATGTTTTTTATTTTAGAAGGAGAGGAAGTGAGAGGGGGAGAGAGAGAAACATCAATGAGAAAGAGAAACACCGATCGACTGCCTCCTGCACACCTCCTACTAGGCATCTAGACCCAAATCCGGGCATGTTGACACATTAGCAACAGTGTCAACGAGGAGAACAGTCATGCTGATGGGAAATCACAGGAACAGCACTGCACTGGCACAGGGCATCTCTGCAAACAGCCTCGAGCCGGGTGCTGGGGTGAGGACTTTCACCATCCTGCTTCTAAGCAGCACACGGCAGGCCTGTCACTGTGTCACTGCGGCTCTGAGCACACGGTTGACCCATGCTTTCCTTCCTGTAAACGTGATTGCTTCTGACAAGGTGTGTGTGTGTCTACAGGGAACAGGAGATGGCAAAGTGAGGCTCAACAGCAGTAGTTCGGTGGACAGCAGAATGTGGGTGCACAGTGTGGGGGTAGGTTGTATAACAGAGGTTAGCGTTATAATGCGAAAGGTGTTAGGGTTTCT